CCGTTTCGTTTTCATCAAACCAGTTCTGAGTTTGACGTTGTGTGTATCCGCGGACCTCCAGGTCGGAGAATTGGACTATATTGCTAAGTTTTCACCACCGATTCTGCACTAAGGCGTCCTTGTCGGCGACTGCAAGTACTGAGCCAGTTTGGAACTGAAAAAGAGATGGTGGGCGGGCAAATTCAACAAAAGAGCATTTGACCTACCTGGTGGTCACTAACCCCTGGCACAGGGGCATTCAGACCCTCATAGAACTTGTTTTTTGCCTCGTCGGAGATAGCCATCGAGGGAGGCGTAGGCACTGACATTGATGGGGAGTTTGCTGTCTCGAAAAGGCATCCAAGGCCCATCAAGCGATCGTGGGTGTCGTGCCACAGACAGTACAGACGTCCTACGATATCAGTCCGAATAGAAAAGGCGACACCTGCGACGTCGGCAAAGCTGGCCTCATATGGCTTTGCTTGTGGGCAGCTGCTTCAGAGGGTGTAACCGTCACCTACCTCCTCCACTTGGCCTTGGCCAGAAAAGTCGAATTTTCTGAGTGCGGCGTTTTCCACATTGTCCCGAGCGATAAGTATTGTGCTCCGTTTTGGTTGACTGCTCCTCTGATTGTCTAAACGAAAACGAATATTACAGGCTGATAGAGTGAGCGAACTCACACTAGCGTTCCAGAATGTTCGACAGGGCTGGAGAAAACTGGAATGGGAAAGGTTTTTGATGCTTTGGTTGCTTTTACCTCAAATATAGCAGTCTGAAAGCCACGATCCGCTGGCAGAAGTCTTGAAGCTAGCATCCGTTTAGGGTACCGTTTCTTTTCCTTTCCCTCAGTGCTGTCCCTCAAGTGATGTGGTAGGGATATTGCAGGGGATTAAAAGAAGGATGAAAAGAGAATAAGTGAGGTAGATGGGGAAAGAGAACGGAGAATGAAAGAATGGGAAGAAAAAGAGAGCGTGTGGGAGCAAGGGAAAGTGGGGAAGTAGGCGAGCGGGATTAAGGCAAGGACAAGTATACAGATAACAATGTGGATAGGGAGAATAGTAGGTAATCCGCGGCGTCTACAAGACCAACGATCATGTTTTCAGTGGCCGTTGCATGCATGACGCGTCTATCCACTACTACTGTCCATGACCTGGTATTCATGGGTCACTGCGGGCAGAAAAGCGTGACATTACCGGATTTGCAGCGTAGCATGGATCTTTTTACTGTTTGCTGTGCCAACTTCGTGCTGACCACTAACACGGACAAAGTGGTGGTCGTGCACCGTCCGCCACGCGATATGTCATACACTGACCAACGTCGCAGTGGAAGAAGTTTGCCTATTTAGGCAGAGATGCATCGAAGCCAGAGGACGGATATGTGAATTGTCAGGAATCGGTGATAAACATTTCCGCACAGTAGCCTATCGTATTGCAAAAGCCTTTGGGTGCGCGACAAAAACTCAGAGTAAGAGAAAAGAGCTTTCCAGTATATGCATTTGTAATCTAAATTATTATAATTATCAGAATTTTTTCCAAACTACAGCTCAGTACGGATTTGTTATTTCTTAACAAACTCTTTTGATTAAAAAAATCGTAAAATAATATAAATATCAATCAATAATGTAAGGGGGCTTTTATTAAATTCGCTAGAATTGCTTACGAAAATTGTTTTACCTAATCAGTTCAAAATAATATCTTAGCAATATAACTCTATGGAAGTATTTAAAGTAACAGCAAATTATATAGGCTATTCCATATTGATAGACAAATCACTTTCTAAATTTGGATATAATTGTTGTTATTTTATTTAACCAAACAAAATGTGATAGGGAGGCCACTAATACCTCAGGGATCTCAAAGATCTGCACTTTTGGAAGCGTCACATTGGAGTATATAAGTCATAAAATCTTTAAACATCCAACACATTGATTATTACAAAACAAAGTGCCCTTTAAAAATAAAAAATTGCAAGGACGAAGAGCTTGGTACCTTAAACGAAATGCAAACTACCATACGTGCTAGGGTGAGTTCGATGAAGTGAAACTTCATATCTGTGGTTCCTCGTGCAATATCATGGACAGAGACTTGTGTGTCTGAAAGTGTTGATGACCGCAATTTCGTAATATATACATCTCACCTGTTTTAAAAAGAGGAGAGGTCATCAGCGATTACGAGCACTCATCTATGTAAACAAGGAATTATTTCATCATTTTATTCGCAACCTTGTGTAGCACATGCCCGGGTTTCTTTAGTACTACTCAACTAACACAAAATGTCATGCAAAACCTCGTACTTCATCTCTTGATGCATATAAATACGTTCGGAACTGATGTTTACCGGTTAATAGACATAATTTTTCTATGTTTATAGTTTCAAAGGAGTTCAACGCAATCAGCTTCGGTCTGCTATTGAAAAAAATAGAGGACATTTAAATGAACGGTAAAAAAT